GTTATGCTTGATAGCCTATTTAAGCCATATATTAGGGCCCCTAAATTTGCCCCTAGTTTTTCCTTGAGGAACTGTATAGTTGTAGGTTTCACATTGAAGTCTTTGCTCCATCTGGAGTTCGTTTTTGTGCGTGGTGTGAGGTACAGATCTTGTTTCATTTTTCTGCAGATGGAGCTCCAGTTTTGCTAGTGCCATCTGTTAAACAACCTCTTCCCCATTGAATGGATTTCAGCTCTTTGTCAAATATCAGCTGACATAGGCCGATGGATCCATTTCTGGGTCCTCAGTTCTATTCCACTGGTCAATGTGTCTGTCTTTGTACCAATAGAATAAGATTTGTATGTACTATGTTGTGCCAATCGGGCTTGAGGTCCCCCAAGGCCATAGCCCTGAGCCCACAGACACTGTGATTCACTCCCTCCAGGTGCTTGGTTTTCGCTGAGAAGCTACTCCAACCTTGTCCACTGTGAGTTCTGTAACGTGTATTTTTGTGGCACACATACATGTGTACGAATATCATCAGCCAAATCTATCTATGGTCATGGGTATATTCCCGTTCACCTATGCACACCTATCTTGTCACCTATGCAGCCACCCATAGAGTAGTGCTCATAGTTACTGATGATGCAGTATTGTGCCTGTAACAATATTTACCTCCGTCCTCCACACCTTTGGGGCACCTCTCTGTGTCCTCCTTTTCCCTATTGGGCTGCTCACACACTTTGTTATACTGCCTCTCCCTTCACCCAAATCAACACAAGTCAACTACTCAGAAATTTACCCCCTCTTTCCCTCCCATCCCTGGTAACCAACAAAGTAAATTTCCTTCCCTGCATAAACCTTTCTTCGACTTTTCACAAAAATGGACTCATAGAATATTTGTCCGTTTGTGATCGACTTATTTCACTCAACATAACATCCTCCAACTTCATCCGCGACATGAGGTATTTTGAGGATTCTCCATTATTTTTCAATGCTGCATAATATTCCATTGTGTGTTGGTACCACAGTTTGGTTGTCTATTCCTCCAGTAAACGCGCACTTAGTCTGCTTCCATCTCTTTGCTCTTGTGAATAGTGCTGCGATGAATGTGGGTGTGCCTGTGTCTCTACGTGTCCCGAGTCTCCCCTCTTTAGGATATATTCTCACTCAGGAAGTCTTTCCCCCTATTAATGGCATTCCTCACTAGATTTTGGAAATAAAAATATTTAACAGGAATCCATCCTTCTCATTGTTGAAAAATAAAATAAAAGATCCAACTGACCGCACTTTTTTCTCTTTCTCGCATCCTCGGATCTCGGGTTTGAACTTTGACCTGGTGACCTAGACTCGCTGTTCCTACGAAGTGAGGGTACGTGTGCTTATGCAGGCACAGCGTTGACGACAGGCCTCCAGTGCTCTCTCTGGACCCTGTCTGCATTTCCAGCGCCCAGGGCGCTGGTGCAGCGGACGCTTCCGCTGCGGCACCCCCTCCAGTCCGTGGGTCCCCGAGAGCGCTCAGCAGAGCAGCTGCCGTGCGCCGCCGCCAGACTGCAGAGCGCGTCAAGCCCCTAGCTGTGCGCGCACGCCCGCGGCTGCAGTCTCCTCGATCTCCCACGCTTCTCTCTCTGCCCCGGCCCCTCCCGCCGGCTCCGGGAGGGGGCGTGACAGGGGCGGAGCTAGGGGCGGTGCTGCGCGCCCGCGCGCAGAGCCCTTTAAAAGCCGCCGGCCCGGCGCGCTCCAGCAGTCTCTCTGCGGTCTCCACGGACTTCGGGTGGACGAGCTGCTTTCCCCAGCCGGACCTCCTGGGGACGAGGCCGCGCCCGGCCGCTCTCCAGCCCCCGGCGGGTCTGCGCGGCGGGGAGCGCTCGGTGCCGGCTGCTCTCCCTTCCCGGTACTGCGTGCGCTCCGCCGCCCACGGTCCATGCGGCTGCCCAGCATGTCCGGGAACTTTCTGCTCGCGCCCATCCCGGAGGCCTCTTCGGACTGCCTCCTGCCCAAGGATATCAAACTGGCGGTGTTGGGCTCTGGCCGCGTGGGCAAGAGCGGTGAGTGCGCGCGGGGGTGGGCGGAGGACGGGTTGCTCTCCAGAGACCGAAAGCGCCTGGAGGAACGGGAAGGGTAGGGGGAGAGAGGAGGAACCTGGGAGTTTGCGCGGTAGATTCCCCTCCATCATTCCCGCCCCTTGGTTCTCCGGGCTGCTTCCCTGGAACACCTCTTCCCGGGAATCTCGTGTGTGTGAGCACCTGTTGGGGAACCGGCATGGTGCGGGTGTCAGTCCACTCATGCTTCAGCCTGAAGGCGGCGCCGTGGCCGAATCGGACGCGCCTGTGGTCCGCAGTGGCTTAGAAGGCCCGCAGCATCAGTGTATTTCTGACCCAGCCCACTCCCTCCTATTCCCCGAGATTCCAGACTTGACCGTCCATCCGGTGAGAACCGCACGCCCAACCCCTTCAGTTGATTTTCCTATTTCCTTTTCAGCAATGATTGTGCGCTTCCTGACCAAGAGATTCATTGGCGACTATGAACCTAATACAGGTGAGAACCGTTCATTCTCCCAGCTTTGATGGCATGCACGTTTTTTTTTCTTGCTGTGTCCTCCATCCCCCCAATCCCATTAAAAACAAGCACATTCACTGCCATCAGTCGATTCTGACTCACAGAGACCCCCATTGGGTTTCTGAGGATGTAAATCTTTACAGAAGTAGATTGCCCAGTCTTCCTTCCATGGAGTGGCTGGTGGGTTTGAACTGCCAACCTTCTTGTTAGCACGCAAATGCCTTAGGCACTGTGCCACCAAAGCCCCATTCTGTTAGAGTGCAAGAATTTCAAAGCAAACTCTTTTGCATTCTCCAGGCAAGCTGTATTCCCGACTCGTCTGTATTGAGGGAGACCAGTTATCCCTGCAGATCCAGGACACCCCGGGATGCGGATGCGTTCAGGTGAGGACCGCCAGGGGAGGTTGCCAGCAAACAGCTGGTCCCACTCAGAGTGTCCAAAGCAGGGAAACGTGGTCATATGCCGGAGCTGGCCGCCACCGTGAGCAAGGTGCCTAGACGTGCCATGCCTTCATGTGCAGTAATGGGATTGTGCACAAGTGGGGCAGGAAGGTGTGGTGTATTAGAGACCCTCCAAGGAAGATAGCTAGAGACAGCTTCTTCAAGTCAGCCACGTTTGCTGGGAGACAGGCTAAACTTCTCTTTGCAACACTGAAGGGGCATCACTGTTCAGGCTGGACCTCACTCCTCCTTTCCTAGGTTAGAAATGAACGGGGTGTGGGGAGTAGGGGGGCGGGTTGGATGGGGGTTCTGTAGAAGGGGTGCGCCCCAAGCAAACACTGCTAAAATGCCTCTCCTACCTCCTGGCTCTCCTTTGAAACCCCTCATTGCAGTCAGATAACCCTTGGGCAAGCGTTCAAACATGCGGCTTGATTAACAGTTACTAATTGGTGTCGGGAAGAAAGGTCTTGGGGGAAGAACAGAAAGAAGGAATTTGTTCTCAAGAAGTGCGTGCTAAAAATATCTTAATGGGTTTGGGAAGAGATATTTATCTTGGCTTATTCTCAAAGTTTTGTTTATTATGAGTTGTTTCTCTAAAAATCGAGCCCTTTTGGCTTGGAAGCTCTCATGGAAGTCATTCTTCAGTCAGACACAGTTTGCTGCATACCGCCTGCCAAGAGAGGGGTTTAAAAATAATGCGTTGGTCATAACTAATAAAATCATCTGGACCTGCAGTGTGACTGAGAATTTGCTCTTTCCACATCAAAAGCTGCCCTCTGCAGAAGCTGGCGGAATGTGAACACTATGGTTAAGTGATTGCTTTGTGAAAAGTTTCTCCCAGGGTTACTTGATGTTATTTTGAGCCTTTCCCCACTGAGAGCTTCCTGCCTTGATCCAGGCGCTTTCTGATCTGTTTCAGGTGCAAGACAGTCTCCTCCAGGCTGTTGACCCCCTGTCCAGATGTGTGCAGTGGGCGGAGGGCTTCCTACTGGTCTACTCCATCACAGACTACAGCAGCTACCAGTCCATCCGGCCTCTGTACCAGCACATCCGGAAGGTCCACCCTGACTCCAGGGCCCCTGTCATCATTGTGGGTAACAAGGGGGACCTGTTGCACGCCCGGCAGGTGCAGACGCACGATGGCCTTCAGCTGGCCAACGAGCTGGGTAGCGTGTTCCTGGAGATCTCCACCAGTGAGAACTACGAGGACGTCTGTGATGTGTTCCAGCACCTCTGCAAGGAAGTGAGCAAGCTGCACAGTCTGGGAGCGGAGAAGAGACGCGCCTCCATCATCCCTCGGCCACGCTCGCCTAACATGCAGGACCTGAAGCGGCGCTTCAAGCAGGCGCTGTCATCCAAAGTCAAGTCCCCCTCTGCCTCGACGGTGGGGTGAACACGTGCAGACCCAGCGCCTTCAGTGACGTGCGGGTGCAGCTGAAAGACTGGGGTCCCCTTTTACTCACACACTCAGAGTTTATTTTTATAAAGACGTTACTGCTTTTCCGATGTGCACGGGTAGGCATTTCTGAACATGGTCAAGAGGCTGGGTGGAGAATTTTTTTTTTTTTTTAATAAGATGACTTTTTGTTGTTTGGTTTTTACTCTAACTGCTAGCCACTTTTCCATTAAAGGCAAAATGGCAACATCGCTCCTTGTTTTCTTAATGTCTTTTTATAGAACCCGTAGTTGCACGAGAGCCCAGAACTGCTCAGGGCTTACCCTGGGTCTGAACTCGGATGGGTGTCTTACGGGAAGGAAGGGTTTATGCACTGGGAATTATTGGGAGAGAAAGGAAGGTATATGGAGGAGAGGGGCTTTGAACGGCTGCATGAAAGCTTTCATTAGGGCACTTGTGGCATAAAATCAACCGTATGTCATTTTTAAGACGGGGGGCTCTGTTGTGACCTAGTGCTATACAAAAACAACCAAACACAAACTCATTGCCGTTGAGTCAATTCCGACTCATAGTGACCCCCACTGACTTTCTGAGACAGTAAATCTTTATAGAAGTCGATTGCCCAGTCTTCCTTCTGCGGAGTGGCTGGTGGGTTTGAACCACCAACCTTCTGGTTAGCAGTCAAATGCCTTAGGCACTACTCCACCAGAGCTCCTAGCGCTATACAGAAGTTGAAAATCGTGTGCTGTTGTTTATGGGTGCAAATTTATTTAACTTTATCTTTTCTACCCACACTGAAGCACAAAAACCTTTTCCAGTAAGTAGACCCTCCCATTCAGGGGTTGCTTCAAGGTCCTCTTTTCTTCTTCTGTCTTGTTCATCCCCATGTCTGATAGGGTACCAGATCTATCAGTCAATTGTCTCTCTCTCAAGCATCCTTCTTCCTTAATCCATGCCTTTACACCTCTTGGCTTAATGCTGACAGTCTCACCTCATTGGTCTCTTGGCCTGTGGAATACCATGCGTCTAATTCTGTCTTCAAGGAGCCCTGGTGGCTCAATGGTTAAGCACTTGGCTGCTAACCAAAAGGTTGTGGTTTGAACCCACCCAATGGCTCCGCAGTAGAAAGAGCTGGTGATCTGCTCCAGTAAAGACTGACAGCCTAGGAAACCCTGTGGGGCAGTTCCACTCTGTCCTCTAGGGGCGCTGTGAGTCAGAATCGACTCCACGGCAGTGGGTGTGGTTTGGGCTTCTGTGAAGATTGACAGCCCTGGAGACCCTCTGGTGCAGTTCCACTCTGTCCTCTAGGGGCGCTGTGAGTCAGAATTGACTCCTTAGCATCCCAAAACAATTCTGTCTTCACACCAGAACAACTTTACTAAAACCAAACCTGATCATTTTATTTCTGTGATTGAGAAAATTCAGCTGCTTTCTCTTTATCTCCTAGATAACATTATCGAGGCCTGGCATTCAGTATTTATTCTAATCATCTCTCCAGCCTCAGTACTCATCCTCTTCTGTCAATACGCACACTTACCCTTGCACACACTTAAGCACACACACTCATGTGCACACACATGTACCCAACACTCATGCACACACTCATGTACATGCACACACATGCACACACATACATGCACTCATACAGCTGACATGACATTGGTCTTCCTTTCTCGATATGTGCCCTCTCAGGCTCCACCCACCCTCCTCTCGGCACTAGTCCCTCTGGCTTAAATGTTTTGAGTGCTCTTGAGTATCCCCACCCCCCAGGGGGACCCCTGGGAGCTCTGGTAGCATAGTGGCTAAGGCACTTGACTGCTAACCAGAAGGCTGGCGGTTCAAACCCGCCAGCCACTCCTCGGAAGGAAGGTTGGGCAATCCTACTTCCGTAGTGATACTGCCTCGGAAACCCAAGGAGGGGTCGCTATGAGTCGGGGCCGACTCGACAGTACATAACAACAACAACAACAGGGGGGCCCCAACTCCTCTTTTAAGCCACAAGCCACGTGCTACCATGAGCCCCTGCGACGCCTTGTCTGAATCTTCGACGCTCACTGCCTTTGTGTTATAACCCAACCATGTAATGTGACTATGTGTCAGTCCCTTTGGAAGGCACCCTCCCTGAGGTAGTGACTGCGTGATTTTAGCCTTTGTGTCCACGCTTGCAGCCCAGTGCTTGCCTTACAGTGTTAGGTTTTCAGTAAATATGTGATGGATAAATGCAGGGATGCATTTGTTTTGTTTTAGTGCTAGGGACAATGATAGGAGGTTATAGGGAAATAGCTTGTCCCTTCTGTAAGGACACGAGTTGCTCACAGTAACCAAAGATTCTTTAATAGCAGAGACGGAGGGACACAGACATATATGCAGCTTCTGGTGAGCACCAGTACGTGGGAGCCCTGGTGGTGCAAGGGGTTTGCAATTGGCTGCTAATCTAAAGGTTGGTAGTTCGAACCCACCCAGTGGCTCTGAGGAAGAAGGGCCTGGCAATCTGCTTCCTTAAAGAGTATAGCCACAAAAACCCGACAGAGCAGTTCTGCTGGAACACACGGGGTCAGCATGAGTCAGACTCCACTTGGCAGCAATGTTTTTTTTTGTTGTTGTTGCAATTGTTGACCACTTTCCTCCCAGGCTGGGATTCCTCGGTGGTCGAGACCTGCTACACTCCCACCATTCATCTTCATATTTGAAGAGTGTTGTCTATGCAAAATGAGAAGAAGGATTAAGAAAAGGAGATAATTCATGTCTCAAGGACCCAAATAACTGTTGTTGTTGTTATGTGCTGTCGAGTTGTCTCCAACTCATAGCGACCCCTCCTTGGGTTTCTGAGGCTGTCAGTCTTTATAGAAGCAAAGCCCAAACCAAATTCACTGCCATTGACTTGACTTGACTCATAGCGACCCCTCCTTGGGTTTCCGAGGCAGTATCACTACAGAAGCAGATTGCCCAACCTTCCTTCCTAGGAGTGGCTGGTGGGTTTGAACCACCAACCTTCTGGTTAGCAGTCAAATGCCTTAGGCACTACGCCCCCAGAGCTCTCACACAAATAACTATGTCACATATTTATTTGAAATCCATTCTTTGAAAAGTGCCTGCCTTCTCCTGCTTTGTGGCCTCCCCTCGGGACAAAAGGTGTTCTTTCTAGCATCACCCATTCCTGCTTCTGCCTGGAGGCTAGCCATCTGTTTTAACATTGTTACTGTGGGCATCAGAACAACTGATTCATCTCATCATTATTGTTATGCCTACAGTGTCTGCTTGAGGATTAAGGTGCGCCTGACACAAGCCATGGTATTTTCAGTCGCCTCATAGGCATGTGAGAGCTGGACAATGAATAAGGAGGACTGAAGAAGAGTTGTTGCTTTTGAGTTGTGATGTTGGCCGAGAATGCTGAAAGTACCGTGGACTGCTAAAAGAACTAGGAAATCTGTCCTGGAAGAAGTGCAGCCAGAATGCTCCTTGGAGGCGAGAATGGCCAGACTTCATCTCACCTACTTTGCTCATGTTGTCAGAAGGGACCATTCCCTGGAGAAGGATGTCATGCTTGGTAGGGTGGAGGGTCGGTGAGGAAGGGGAAGGCCCTCAATGAGAGGGACTGACACGGTGGCTACAACGATGGCTCAGGTGTAGCAGGGGTCGTGGGGCTGACGCAGAACCAGGCAGTGTTTCATCCAGCTGTACACAGGGTCGCTATGAGTTGCAGATGACTGGACGGCACCTAACGACAGCAAGAAGCGTCCCAGCCCACAGACCTGCAGAGCTGTGTGGCTCCAGTCCTTCTGGCCCCAGAGTTAGCCCAGCATGAACCCTTTCCGTGGTCTTGGAGGGACACGGTCACCTCTTGGCTCATTCCCAGGCCCGCCTGCTGATTGGCAGTGGGGTCCCTGCGGATGGGGAATCAGGAAGGCTCTCGGGGAGCAGACTCGGAGACGGAAGAGGTAAAACACGGAGTTTATTGGAGGCAGTCGGAGCAGAGGATGTTGACTGGAGCCCGCCTGGGTGCTGACGAAGAGCCCAGATGGTGCAATGGTTGAGCGCTCAGCTGCTAACGAGGTCAGCAGTTTGAACCCAGCAGGCACTCTGGGGAAGAAAGACGTGGCCGTCTGTTTCTGTCAACATGACAGCCCTGGTCACCCTATGAGGCACTTCTGCTCTGTCCTGTGGGGTCGCTGTGACAGAGAACCGTCCCCACAGCACCAGGTTACAGGGGTGCTGAGGAGGCCCTTCAAGGGGAAGGTGAGCCCTAAGCCAACCTCCTTCCCCCTCCTTCAATCAAAAGGGCAGAATTCCAAGAGCCTGGTGTCATTATTTTGCTAGGGGCAAAAGTCCAGGGCCATAACATGGCAAACATGGCTGGGAACGGAGAGGCCAGTGTCTGCCTATTCGCATCTGGTCAGTTTGCCTTACCTCTGAGGTGTTGCCAAGGGTGTGAGAACTTACCTCCACCGTCATGCGGGAGATGGGACCACAGCTTTCCCTGGACTCTCTCTCTCTCTCTCTCTTTCTCTTTTTATTGTGATTCGGGTGAGGATTTACAGAGCAAATTCACTTTCCATACAGCAGTTCACATATACTTTGTCTCATGACATTGACCACAGTTTACCACGATGCAACAGCTCCCCTCCCACCTCCTCCCCATAGTTACCTCTTCCCTGTGTCCATCCCTCCATGCACTCCTGCCCCCTGAGCTGTCTCCCAGTGCATAGGCAGCCCTTCCTTCTCCCATGATTGTTCTCTCCAGGGCGTGTGTCTACTTGAGGTAAATGTTCAGCTCATATATCTGCCCCTGGACTCTCTTCATTAACCCTCTCCACCCCTGCCTTCAGGAGCTCTGGTGGCGTAGTGCCTAAGGCACTTGACTGCTAACCAGAAGGCTGGCGGTTCAAACCCACCAGCTACTCCTCGAAAGGAAGATCGGGCAATCTATTTCTGTAGTGATACCGCCTTGGAAACCCAAGGAGGGGTCGCTATGAGTCAAGTCAAGTCAATGGCAGTGA